CCCCCCATCCCATCTCTTGCACAGTTAAATAAAGTGTAAAGTGAGAAGTTAAAACTGACCTTGTTAGATCGGGACCACAATTTATATTCCTAATTTAGTGTATGGATTAATTAGTCTTGGCAAGCGCGCGTATCAGCTTCCATCTACGCCTTCACATCACAGAGCGCTTTCAAAACACATCTCTGGAATGATTTCTGTCAATGTAATCTGCATACGCCGTGATGTGTTATTTATTTTATTTTGAATATTTCCAGCGCCACACTTTTAATTAATACTTAATTGGACAATTTATAGAGAGGACTTATTCCGGCGTTAGCCTCTAATCAATAGCCTCCATCTCCCATCATGCAAAATTAATCACTCTGACCTGCTATCGGTGCGGCTGCCGCACGCGCGCGCGCACTGGCACGCGCGCACACGCAACCTATGATGCTAACTGGCATGCATTTTGCACATGGGGCTGAGGAATCTGGCTTATATTCCCCCTGCCCCAACACCCCGCCCCCCACCCTACCCCAACTACTCTCTGATCCAATTCTCCCCGTCATATAGATCGCAGTCTGCGGGGGCCATAGGCGCTGACAGAGCCCAGATGCTCCCAGTCTGTCTGGTGGGGGGGGACCGGAGAGACTGGTGCCACGGGGTCCTGGAGCCTCTGAAGTGCCGCCCCCCTCCGTCAACAGGACCAAGGCTAGACCTGCACTTTCTCCAGGCTCAGACACTCTCCTCACCACAACGCACGCTCAAGATTGATACGTGCCGGGAGAGGCTCCCATGTAATGCGGCCCCTTCATCAGCCGCTCCTAATTAAAGAACCGCGGTTCTGTTCCCGGGTTCGTAAGGTTACAATGACATACCGATACAAGGTTACTGGCACGCACTCACACACTTAAAGCTGTCAGAGTTTCCTTTACTTTCTCATTTATTCCTGCTCCGTCTCATCATGACCATCCGAAGCAGAGCGGAGGGGCTCTTTGTTCTAAAAGAAAGCCTACAAGTCTCCGAGCATCCCGCTTTCCCCTCTCAAAACACAAAGATCATTACAAGGGCATCAAAGGATGCCGTGTTTTGCGATGATATTGCTCTTTGTGGTGGCAGCGTAGCATGGCGGCGCGCCTCGGTATTAGAGGCTGCCGTGGCAGCTGTCGTGGCTGGCTGCACGGTGCCTCGGTGTCAGGGCCTCCGAGGCCAGGCGGTCCCGGCAGACAGACAAGGGGGGGAGGAAACCCGATAGCGCGGCCAAGTCTCAGTCTGTCTATGCGAGCTATCTATTCCCGTGTCTGACTGGCTGACTGACTGGACTATCTGCATCGCAAACACTCCTCCGGCTTCCCAGAAGCACTCTGCTGATCTCAGCTTGCCTAACGCGCTCCCAAAAAGTTTCTAATTCTTTTTAGGCAAATTGTATATCATCTACCTTCTTATTTCGATGCTGAAGTTTTCTTTGCCTTGAGTGCATTGAAAAGTTTTATTTGTTGTTGTTGTCATGAATTAGAAAATTATCATTGTTTATGATGTTATACAGTAATACTTTTGGAATTATCATTATATATATATATATATATATATATATAGAATTATATATCTATTTTTAAAAAGCTTGCAAACTTTTTGGAAATAATAAAAGCTGCCATGAATGAATCACTGACGTGGCTGCAGGACCCCACTCGGGTTTGTACGTTTCTACCGAGGGGGAGCAGGTTGCAGAGTTATGAGCCGACATGTATAAGGAGCAAAGACACGGAAGCATGGAGTGTGTTTGTATTTGATGTGGGGGAGAAAATTGTTCTATAATGAGGAGGGGGTGCCAGGATATGAAATGTAAGTGGGGAGTTGGAGACAGGATGTAAGTTATGAGAAGGAAACCAATGTTGGGAAATGTCGAGGCTGCTGTTGTTGCGGCGCTATAAGCTCAAATATTTAACACCGCGCCCGTCGGTGATTAATGCAACCTGGCTGGGTCAAAAATATGAACTCGAACTAGCAACGACACCAAAACATATTCTTTGTGGGGGCTCAAATGAGTGTATGTCATGTGTGTGAGTGCGTGTGTGTGCGTGAGTGCATGTGAGGGGGTTAATAAATGTTGAATCAAACGCCGCACGAGACACTCACACTCCTTAAGGGTTGCCCATTAGCGCTGTGTGGGTGCATGGGGAGTTTATCAGTGTCTGGGTGATTTATGAAGTCAGACTCAATATCATCCACTTCACCCACACACATATGGACGCTCACATGTGCGCCCAAGAGCACGCGTGGCCACGCGCTCATGCACACGCACGCACGCGTGCGCCCACTGAAACGGAGGGCCGATATTAGGGCAAAATTAAAGCTTTCGCTTGATGAGATGGACTCAGCCTCCTTTAATGGAATTCTCACTGTTGGAGATCCAAAACCATAAAACACTAATTATACTGCTCGCACTAATATATCATAGGGTGTGTTTAAAAAAAAAATAAATAAAAATAAAAATCCCTCCCCCCCAAAAAAAAGGTGTGAAATATTTAATATAAAGCATTGCCTTGGGTACCTGAGCAATTACACGGCCAATTACTGGCAGCATGGCTGACGCTTTGATGCTGGACTTGTTTTCAGTGGCTCCAGACAGCAGCAACTCTGCTCGCTAAATTTGTAGCATTCCACGGAATTTAGTTAGCCACAAGCAAAAAAAAAAAAAAAAGAGAGAAAAAGAAAAGGAGGGTGCTTACAGTGCACTTCAGAGTGTGCCTGGCTTAAATGGGACCCCTTGTGGCTGTGTCACAACTCCCTTCGTTAGGGGGCTGACTGTAGCCTGTAGTCACCACAGGCATCATTAGCCCTCTGTGAAACCACAGACTGGCTCTCATTCTTCATCTGCCTGTCTGCCGCCTCGACGTCCGCGCTTACCGACGGCGCTCCAGCGGCGGCGCGAGCCAGTCCGGCGACGTGGCGAGAGCTCGGTCGGATGAAGGAATTCAAAAATGCAGCAGGGAAGAAAAAAAAAAAGTTGAAATGTATTCAAGCGGAGGGCCACTGGAATTGGATCAGTAAAGGTTAGAGCCGAGGTTATTTTGGGAGGGTGAATTATTAGGCTACCTGTGCTGCGCAGAGGAGGAATAACTATGGGCACGTCAGGGTCACTCCGGAATTGCATTAGACAGTGAGGAGAATCAAGAATTTTATAGGGCAAAGGAAGGAATGAAAGCATCAACGCAACAAAAGATCCTTAAGAGGGGGGAAGCACTGGAAATGTTCAGTCGAACCACACGCGCGGCGCGAGCACACGCAAAATTTACACCCACACACTTCCCGCTGCCCCCTCCATATGGTCCTTCCGAGATAAAATAACGCCTCTCAAAAGGGATTAAACGCGGTTGCGCGGGGAAATAAAATAACATACAAACGTGTAAGTTGCGGATCAAATGTGCAAGAACGAATTCCAGGTTGAAATGTTGGGTGTCAGTTTTGCCGTTCTGTACTGCCCTCTAATGGAAAAGCCGCCACTCGGAGAGAGCAGAAAAGAGAGCGGCACTGCACACACGCGCCAACACACAAGAAGGACATGCAGCCTAATCGGGAATGAGCCCAAGGCAGTCAACTTTTTATTGTAAATAAACGCAATTAAAAATGATGAAAAGCACTAATTTGACACGTGGAGACGCGTCGATTTGAAAAGGCGTCTGTATGGAATGCATAAGACATCATCAGCGATTGGAGGTGGATTTTCAGACGGGGGGGCAAACAATGCGATCTAAATGGAGACAAAACAAATACTCCACTACAAAGCTTTGTAGCGGCAAAATTCGGAGCCTTTATCACTGGATGTCGAACAAAGCACTCGCTTGGCAGGAAATTAAAAAACCAACGAGAGGTACAAAGACTAATTCTGCTCTCAGGAAGAAAAAAAAAAAAAAGAAAGAAATAATAACAACAACAACAACAACAATATGCGAGACATATTTTTAAGGGAATAATAACTCTTTAGAAAAACCATTCCAAGCACTATCTGGCAAACGCAGTGGAGGCCCACGGGAGCATATGTTTGTAATTCAGACTGTTCTCTGTTTAAGTTATTTTTGTACATTCTAATTCTGCAGCAACTCGCGAGCACATTAACTATGCAGGCATCTCTATTCTTAGATTTTTTTTTTTTTAAATGAAATGAAATTGAATATTTACGTACACACTCAACTTTGCGCCTTTTGTTTTATGTGTGTTTGTGTTTGTGTGTAGAGGGTTCCCCCCCCCCCCACCTCTTAAATACTTGATACAGTTGGCGTCCGTCGTGCGTCAGCCTTCCTCGCGCCGCCTCTCGTGGGCCAGCAGCCATTGTTTGAGGTGGTCGCCCCTGCCGCTCATGTACGGGCCGCTCTGGCCACTGCTCAAAATGACGCGGTGGCAGGGGATGATGAGCGGAATCTGGCGCGGGCAAACAAAAGAAGAATTCATCCCCAAGGAAGCGGACGTGCAACTTTTGCAAATGTTGTGCAAGCACATCTCGACACGCAAGCGAAGCCTGCTTTGATGTCTTATCTTTTTCTGGAAAGGTACAATTATCTTGGCTGCCTTTTTTTGTTTTGTTTTGTTTTATTATTATTATTATTATTTTAACCGCCCCGATATTGCAATTCACTGCAGAGAATTGAATTTTAAGAAGACGCCTATGAAGTGTAAATACAGGGAAAACACAGAAAGTAGACACGGGCGGTGAGGAGTCGCTCTCTTTTGACAAGCACTTCCTGGTCGAAATGTATTATGTATGAAAGCGCCTGTGATTTACCGCATAAACGGCGCAACTTGAAAGTCAGCGGCGCGCAGAACAATGCGAATCTGCACTTTTGCGGCTGCGCGAACGCTAAAAAAACACAAAAGCGGCTGCCGCGACGAGAGCGGTCTGGTTTGGATGGCGCGACATCGCACATTGGCGGCGATGGCGCCGTCTACGGCGATAAAGGTTTCTCCGCACTCTTTCAAAGTGTAAAGCAAAGAAGCAATCAAAAATTAATGGGCAAAAACACCAGCAGGATGAATATTCAATCGAGAGGGTGTCAACATTAAGATCTGATAACCCTGTGATCATTAAAAAGAGGAAGTCGGTGGAGCGTTTACTCTTATTGCCGACGACTGCCAGGGGGGGTCCCGGGTTTCTTTGTAAACTAAATGGCTGGAGAAAGATTAAACGAGCCAGCCTAAAACACTTCGATCATTGTAAACTCGGAACAAGAGCGGCAGCAACGCTTGCCGTGAATCACGGCGATTATTTCAAACGCTCCTCCATTGATTGGCGTCAACGTTCCCCAAAAAATAAAAAAATAAAATAAAATGTCACTGCCAAACAGGTTGCGCCGTGGCTATAATTTCTGGTTGATCATAACCTGATGGCTGCCGCGGCATATAAAAGTTGGATGCGCTGCGCGCCTCGCTTCAGATCCATCATTAAACCCGCTCCCATATCAACAGCAATAAAACTTTCCGAGCCCCAGATTAACCTTGCAGACAGAGAAATACTGCTCCAGTATTCAGATCAATATTGTTCCCCGGGTTTGGAAGGAGCGCAGGGTACCCTCAAGGCCTTCGGATCTGCCTCCTGAATGCGCGGGGATGGGGGGAGC